AAAATAAATAAATAAATACAATTAATTAATTAATTAAAATAAATACAATAAATTTTAAAAATTAAAGAAAAAAAAGAAAAAAAAAAAGAAAAGAAATGAAATGAAATTTGTTCCCATTCTGTACCGAAAATGTACCATTACACCCCTAATAGTTTTTTAATTTTAGTTCAGTAGAGATTGGCAATTCCAGGTCTGAAATTATGTAAATTATTCTTAGTGAAGGTGTACGGAATTTAAAAACACAGTGGAACACTTCCTGTATTACCACATGACATCACAAGGTGGGACAGAGCGTTTTTTGGTTTGACGGAAGAACACAGACTAAATATACAGCTGTGTTTTTGTGTTAAATGTGTGAATGAAACAAAACACAACTCCAGATCTGTTTTTAATGAGAAAACTACATTTTAACTCATATATTAAATTTTAAAAAGCATAATATGGACTCTTTAAAAAAATAATTTGGAGATACTAAACACTTTTTTGTTTAAGACCTGTTTAAGCGCAGCGATGTAAATGTGATCACAAAATCTAGGCCTATCAATAAAATCCCGTTGACTGTAATAATGCACCAAAACTTACTTGTTAGCCGCAGAGAACCAAATATGCAAAAAATTGTAAAAAATATGAAAACAGATCTGGTGCAGTTCAAATTATACCAGTGAATACAATACAAAACAAATCACACAAGTGCTCAAATAGGCCGCTTTGTAACGATAATGACATTTAGTATTGTCATAAAAACATGACAAATTAGAGGAATGGAAAATATTCTTAGTTAAAAGTTTTGTATTTGGTGAATTATAGTGAAGTTGAAAAGAAAAACAGGTGCAGACTCTTTGGATTCTGCTATAGGAACGAACTAAAAGATTAATATTTAGACGTTTAATTTGGTGAAACAGTATCGATGTCACCGACCGCTTAATCAATACGAGGCTATGAATATTATTTAAAGGTGCACTGTGTAACATTTCTAGTGGAGGGTCTGCCACTTGCTTGTCTACACTGAAAAGTTATTGCTTTATCTAAAATGTTCCACAGTTTAGATCAAATTGAGCTATCACAATGAGACGAGGCACTACGCTACATTACAGCTCAGATCTGTGGAGAGTCGATCCTATTTACAGAAGGAATTGTTGCATTTTTGAGCAATAAAAACACCCGTATTGAATAAATGCTAGATGGAAATGTTTAATGGGGTGTGGGATTAAATAGGTTTTCTTCTTCACACTCCTTCTTGGGCATTTTTGTTGTTATTTTTTGTTTTTGTTACGAGTGCACTAAAGTAAATATGGATTATACTTGCCCAAAATAAATACATAAATGAAAATGTCATACAGTGGAACATTCCCAGCAAAGCAATCTCCATGGAGACAAGTAGGTAGCGGAGACTCCACCAGAAAAGTTTATATTAAGGTGCACTGTGTAACTTTTCTGGAGGGAGTTCGCAACTGTTTTGTTTACATGGAGATGGAGCTTTGGTTGAAATTGTCTACACTATGGTATTAAACTACCGTATGTTTCGGACTATAAGTTGCTCCGGAGTATAATTCGCACCAGCCAAAAAATGCGTAATGAAGAAGAAAAAAACGTATATAATTAGCATTTTTTGGGGGAAATTTATCTTATAAAATCACCAGCAACTGACATTTCATTTTGAAAGGCGAGATAATAACAACAAGCAAAACAGAACAAGTTTACCAAACTCTCCATCTTACTCCAAATCACTAAATCCACTGAATTCTTCATCCTCTGTGTCACTTTTGAGCAACTCCACGACCTCCGAAGGTAAACAGAGCGCTGCTTCTTCTTCTGTGTATCTGTCTATAGACTCAGCATCAGTTCCAGTTAGAATTATTTCAGCCTTTCTGAATCCCGACAGAATGGTTTCAGTTGTCACCACAGACTGTATATTTAAGTGGACAAAGCATAGGAAGTTCTCCAGGAGGCTCTTCCAGCTCCTTATGGCTCCAGTTGACTGACATTAGGATCTTGTAGCTCCTCTTTCTGTACCTGCTGCTGTGAGCCTCGCCATGTTGGTCTTAAAATGTTCATATTAACCCGCTCTACATGATCCAGATTTTTTTTTTCAGTCTTTTGTCCGTCAAATAAATCCTGTTCATAACATAGAGCCTGGCTCCAGATTCGCTCCTGTAACCGTGAGCATCGCGAGCCTCATTTGAGCTGCCCTGAGCTCTATGGGTGACGTCACACTCGCTTTGGTCCACTTCTTTTATACAGTCTATGGTTGTCACTTATATTTAAAATTTTCAGTGATATAGAAGTAATGGTGCGATCGACTGGCGTGATACAGACAGGACAGAGGCTCTTTGTGCAGGAGACATGCGCAGTAGAGTGAAGTGACAGTGGTACAGGAGTAACAGGAGCAGCAGATACTGACATACAAGACTAGAGCCTCTCACGGCTGTCAGTATGAAAATTTTAATATACAAGTTGCAGGAAACAACCGAATTATCTTAAAAAAACATTAATTTTTACTGCGAATGGGGTCGCCTTTCCACAAATCTATCCTGTAATTTGTAGGGATGTAACAATAACCAAAATATCGTGATATTGTATCATCAAAAGTTTCACAATAATATCGTGGGCTGTCACAATATATGGAATTACAAGTTCCTTTCCTTAAATGCACACAGCAAAAAGTGGAGTGTTAAAATTGACTCTCACAGAATCAATTTTAACATTTTCTCAGAGTTTATATGAGTCCAATCTGTTCTAGATTTAATTTAACATTTTTGGAAATGTTAATTAAGTAACACTGGACCAAAGTTCCTGTTTAACCCCGAAATCCAGATTCACGTTTTGAGAGTAAACACATAACACTTTGTAGAGTTATCCTGATTTAGCTAAACACACAGAGGTGTTTTATTTTATTTTTACACTTTATTTTAGTTCATTTAAGATGAAATTATGTACAAAACTGTTTCAAACTGGTCTTTCACAAGAGTTTGAAATGGTGAATGGGAGGAGCCAAATTAACACTAAGAGAAGTTGAATTAACACTAAGAGAAGTTGAATTAACACTAAGGGAAGTTGAATTAACACTAGAGGAAGTTGAATCAACCTCAACCACATCAACTCTGGCAACTAACCCCAACTCAAACCCCCATTTAACTTTCAAATAGTTCAAATAACACTTTTGGTGTTAAAAACAACTCTGAAATATTTTACCCTAAAATTTTAACCCTCCAGTTTTTGCTGTGCATGGTTTTATAGTAGAAACAGCTTATAAACATTGGGAACTACATATCCCATGATTCATTTCAGCGCAGATACATGAAGAAATATGTTTTTTACTTGAATTTTTGGGATTATGACGAAAATAATTCACACCAACCGTCCCCTGAGATGCATATTGTACTATCGTTACATCTCTAGTAATTTGGCTTGCAAGTCTCTATGAAGATTTCTAAGTTTATGGTCATACTGTGGAACATTCTAGGCCAAGGGTCTTCAACCTTTCTCCTCTGGTGAGCTACCTTTTCAAAATAAAAAGTCCAGAGAGCGACTTATTTTAGCGGTCGCAAGAAATTGAGTAAATATAAGATTAGATGGGGTACAGTTTTAGGCACATCTCCATGGAGACAAGCAGATGACCAACCCTCCACCTTACGAGTTACACAGCGCATCTTTAACGCAAATTCTGCCTTCTATATTTATTTCCTGTTATGGTTTATTCTGGAAAATGCTGAAGTTACTTGTGTTGTGATTTCCCTCTAGTCACGAAGGGTCAGAGAGGAAGCCAAAGACGTAAGTTTAGCCACATCTCTCGTGTACCAATCAATCCTCTCATCAAAACTCTCATTTCATCCTAATTTTTCAGTCTTTTTTTTTTTTTCTCGACGCAACCGTTTTATCGCTGCCCGAGAACTTTCTTCCAGATATTATTTTCGCTTCACTTCTTTTTTCTTATGCATCCATTTTGTAATCACTGTGGATATATGACCTGGAAATTATCGCATTTGCTCAATTACACCTGTCATTTTGTCCTGGCAGAATGAGGAGAATGCAAACAGTGTTCCCATCGAAGGCTTGTCTCTGCAGCATCCCCAGGTGAGAGACTCATTTGGGGGATAACTTTGGACTTTGATGGCGCTCTAATTATCTTGTTCCTGTGCCGTTGAGCGTCTGGTCCCGCTCAGTCGCTCGTGTGTGTGTGTGTGTGTGTGTGTGTGTGGTGGGGGGTTTCTGTGCTCGTCTGTCTGTCTGTCTGTCTGTCTGTCTGAGCAGTAATAAGTCAAAGCAAGTACAGATCAGTGTTAGTTCACTTGTTATCTCGCTCTGTTGCATCTCACATTTTACCCAGACGACTGAGATCTCGAACTGGAGCCTACGGATCTGAGCAAAATTTGTCTTATCCCAGGACTAGACCAGGACTAAACCAGAAGTGAAACCAAATCAAGACCTATTGAACTTAGAGATGACTAAACCAAGCCAGTGTAGAGATAACTAAATCAGGACTAAATGTGGACTAAACCAGGATCAAGTGAATTTAGCGATGACTAAACCAGGATTAGAAGTGGGGTAGACCAGGACTAGACCAGGTCTAGACCAGGACTAAACCAGGACTAGAAGTGGACTAAACCAGGATTAGAAGTGGACTAAACCAGGGCTAGAAGTGGACTAAAGCAGGATTAGAAGTGGACAGGACCAAGTCAGCATCGTCAGCATGACTAAACTAGGACTAAAGCAGAACTAGACCATGACAAAACCAGGACTAGAAGTGGACTAGAAGTGGACTAGACCAGGACTAGACCAGGACTAAACCAGAAGTGAAACCAAATCAAGACCTATTGAACTTAGAGATGACTAAACCAAGTCAGTGTAGAGATAACTAAATCAGGACTAAATGTGGACTAAACCAGGATCAAGTGAATTTAGCGATGACTAAACCAGGATTAGAAGTGGGGTAGACCAGGACTAGACCAGGTCTAGACCAGGACTAAACCAGGGCTAGAAATGGACCAAACCAGGACCAATTGAATTTAGCAATGACTAAACCAAGACTAGAAGTGGACTAGACCAGGACTATAAATGGACCAAACCAGGATTAGAAGTGGACTAAACGAGAATTGGAAGTGGACTAAACCAGAACCACAAGTGGACTAAACCAGGACTAGAAATGCACTAAACCAGGGCTAGAAGTGGACTAAACCAGGATTAGAAGTGGACTAAACCAGGGCTAGAAGTGGACAGGACCAAGTCAGCATCGTCAGCATGACTAAACTAGGACTAAAGCAGAACTAGACCATGACAAAACCAGGACTAGAAGTGGACTTAACCAGGACCAAGTCAACATAGAGTTGACTAAACCAGGACTAGAAGTGGACTAGACCAGGACTAGACCAGGACTAGAAGTGGACCAAACCAGGACCAACTGAATTTAGTAATGACTAAACCAGGATAAGAAGTGGACTAAACCAGGACTAGAAGTGGACTAGACCAGGACTAGAAGAGTAGACTACTAAACCGGAACTACAAGTGGACTAAACCAGGACTATAAATGGACCAAAACAGGATTAGAAGTGGACTAAACCAGGACTAGAAATGGACTAAACCAGAACCACAAGTGGACTAAACCAGGACTAGAAATGCACTAAACCAGGGCTATAAGTGGACTAAACTAGGACTAGAAGTGGACTAAAGCAGAACTAGACCATGACTAAACCAGGACTAGAAATGGACTAAACCAGGGCTAGAAGTGGACTAAACTAGGACTAGAAGTGGACTAAAGCAGAACTAGACCATGACTAAACCAGGACTAGAAGTGGACTAGACCAGGACTAAACCAGGACTAGAAGTGGACCAAACCAGGACCAACTGAATTTAGTAATGACTAAACCAGGACTAGAAGTGGACTAAACCAGGACTAGAAGTGGACTAGACCAGGACTAGAAGAGTAGGCTACTAAACCAGAACTACAAGTGGACTAAACCAGGACTATAAATGGACCAAAACAGGATTAGAAGTGGACTAAATGAGGATTAGAAATGGACTAAACCAGAACCACAAGTGGACTAAACCAGGACTAGAAATGCACTAAACCAGGGCTAGAAGTGGACTAAACTAGGACTAGAAGTGGACTAAACCAGGATTAGAAGTGGACTAAACCAGGGCTAGAAGTGGACAGGACCAAGTCAGCATAGTCAGCATGACTAAACTAGGACTAGAAGTGGACTAAAGCAGAACTAGACCATGACTAAACCAGGACTAGAAGTGGACTAGACCAGGACTAAACCAGGATTAGAAGTGGGCCAAACCAAGACCAGTTCAATTTAGAGATGACTAAACCAGGACTAGAAGTGGACCAAACCAGGACCAAGTCAGAGATGACTAAACCAGGACTAGAAGTGGACTAAACCTAGGATTAGAAGTAGACTAAACTAGGCAGAGAAGTGGACCAAACCAGGACCAATTGAATTTAGCAATGACTAATCCAGGATTTAGGAGAGGACTAAACCAGAACAAAGTCAGCGTAGAGATCTCTAAACAAGGACTAGGAATGGACCAAACCAGGACTAGACCAGGACTAATCCAAAAGTGGACCAAACCAGGACCAAGTCAGTGTAGCGATGACGAAACTAGGACCACGTGAATTTAGCGATGTCTAAACCAGGACTAGAAGTGGACCAGACTAGGACCTATTGAATTTAGCGATGACTAAACCAAGATTAGAAGTGGACTAGACCAGAACTAGACCAGGAATAGACCAGGACTAAACACCAGTGTGTGTGGGTCTGCTCTGCTCGTCTGTGTCTGTCTGTCTGAGCAGTAATACGTCAAAGCAAATAGAGATCAGTGTTAGTTCACTTGTTATCTCGCTCTGTTGCATCTCACATTTTACCCAGACGACTGAGATCTTGAACTGGAGCCAGTGATAAAGGCCCATGGATCTGAGCAAAATTAGTCTTTCCCCAGCATTAGAAAAGGACTAAATCAGGACTAGAAGTGGGCTAGACCAGGACTAGACCAGGGCTAAACCAGAAGTGGGGCAAACCAGGACCAATTGAATTTGACGATGGCTAAACCAGGACTAGAAATGAACTAAACCAGGACCAAGTCAATACTGTGATGACTAAACCAGAAATAGAACTGGATTAAACCAGGACTAAACCAGGACGAAACCAGGACAAAACCAGGACTAGACCAGGACTAAACCAGGACTAGACCAGGACTAAACCAGGACGAAACCAGGACAAAACTATGACGAAACCAGGACGAAACCAGGACGAATCCAGGACTAGAAGTGGAAGAACCAGGTCCAAGTGAACTTAGCGATGTCTAAACCAGGACTAGAAATTGACTAAACCAGGACCAAGTCAATACAGCTATGACTAAACCAGGACTATAACTGGATTAAACCAGGACGAAACCAGGACTAGAAGTGGAAGAACCAGGACCCAGTGACTAGCGATGACTAAACCAGGACTAGAACTGGATTAAACTAAAACTAGACCAGGACTAAACCAGGACTAGAACTGGACTAAACCAGGAGTAGAAATAGACTAAAGCAGGACCAGGTCAATACAGCAATGACTAAACCAGGACCAGAACTGGATTAAACCAGGGCGAAACCAGGACGAAACCAGGACTAGACCAGGATTAGACCAGAACGAGACCAGGACGAAACCAGGACTAGAAGTGATCTAAACCAGAGCTAGACTGGGACTAAACCAGAACTAGAAGCGAACCAAGTGAACATAGCAATACATGTGCATTGTGTCTTCATGGTAACTGGTGAACATTTCGCCAATACACATACACGTAGAACACCCCCAGCGTGATGTCCCTGCAGAGTATCAGTAATCAGGAAGTACAATTTTGCATGCTAGTTGTTGTAAGCTTGTTTACAGTAACAGCAGACTGTTTCAAACGAGCTAAAGTCAGGTAGAGCGCCGTCAATTTGCCAAGTCTCGTAGTTCTTGTCAAAAAATGAAAAATGTTCCACAATCAAGGTTATTTGTAAGAGCGAACAGTAATGTGTTGTCATTTAAAAAGTTAATTTGTTTTAGTGTATTAATAGCAGATATAAATCTTACAACTCTTGTGTTCTCGTCTGTGGCCCTGTTCATTCCCATCATCATTTTCCTCGTTTTGACACTTAAAGATGCATTGGCCAAAGACTCTGGAACCTGCTCAGCTCCAAGAAACAATACAGGCTAAACGGGGTTATGGAACTAGACCAGGACTAAACCAGGACTAAACCAGGACTAGACCAGGACTAGACCAGGACTAGAAGTGAACTAACTCCAAGGCTAATCCAGGACTAGGTGAGGACTAGAATAGGACAAAACTAGGACTAGAAGTGGAAGAACCAGGACTAGACGAGGACTAAACTAGGACTAAACCAGGACTAGAAGTGGATACACTAGGACCAAGTGAATTTAGCAATTGACTAAAACCAGAACTAGACCAGGACTAGAAGTGGACTAAACCAGGACCAAGTCAATACAGCAATGACTAAACAAGGACTAGAACTGGATTAAACTAGGACCAAACCAGGACTAGAATTGGACTAAACCAGGGCTAAACCAGGACTAAACCAGAACAAGACCAGGACCAAACCAGGACTAGAAATGGACTAAACCAGAACTAGACCAGGACAAAAACAGGACTAAACCAGTACTAGACAAGGACTAGACCAGGACTAAACCAGGACTAGAAGTGGACTAAAACAGTAAACAAGGACTAGAAATAGACTAAACGAAAACTAGTAGTGGACTAAACCGGAACTAGACCGGGACTAAACTAGGATTAGAAGTGGCCTAAACCAGAACTAGAAGTGGACTAAACCAGAAATAGACCAGGACTAAACCAGGACTAGAAGTGGACTAAATCAGACCTAGACCAGGACCACACCATGTTTAGAAATGGACTTAACCAGGGCTAAACCAGAACTAGACCAGGACAAAAACAGAACTAAATCAGGACTAGACAAGGACTAGACCAGGACTAAACTAGGACTAGAAGTGGACTAAAGCAGTAAACAAAGACTAGAAATAGACAAAACGAAAAGTAGAAGTGGACTAAACCAGAACTAGACCGGGACTAAACTAGGATTAGAAGTGGCCTAAACCAGAAGTAGACTAAGACCAGACCATGTTTAGAAATGGACTTAATAACCAGGACCATATCAATACAGCGATGACTAAACCAGGACTAGAACTGGACTAAATCAGGACCAAGTGAACATAGGGATATTTATAGTAAAAAATTGACCATAAACATCTCTCTGTGAGTTCAGGATTAGAGCTTTCAAATCCCAACTATGCAATTATCTCTCATGGAACATTACAGATGAATTTCTAGAGTAGTTTTTGTCTTTCACATGTTTTCTCTGTCCAGCTGGAGCAGATACTTTTGGCGTTGGTTTTCCATTATTTACAAGCCAAAAAGACCAATGTGAGGCAGAATACTGAAATATTGTCTATGTCCAAAGCTTGAAAAAATATTCGTAATTTTCTCCAAGAAGGTGTTAATAGCTTTGTCTGGAAATATTTCACAGAACTGTATTAAATCTTTTCTATCTTCATCCAAAACCAGACCAAGCTACAGGTCAGATCAGCATTTAAGAACAAAAACTCAGTCAGTTTCTAGTGTTTCTACATCACGTTCCCGGCAGAAGGAGCTGAGTGGACAAAGTCTCTCTCTTCTCTGTGCGGCCATAAGGAACAGAAAGCAACAGCTGATTATTAGATTGCTGGAAGTACGAGTCAACACTTCTCCGTGTGATTAGAGTACAAATGTAGGGACGCAGCAGCCCGAGCAGAGCCTTGTGAATAAAACCAACGCCCCTGCCTCCTAGTGGACAGAGAAGGCCATTGCACTCGTGAGCTCTACACTTAGTAATGAACTTGACTTTGAGTTTTTTGCCATGTTATAATGTTGTCTCATCACAAACAGACCTTGACTTGTGTTTTGTTTCATTCACACACGTTTGAGTAATCTATTATTTTTAGTCTGTTTTCATCTCCAAAGCTCAAAATGCTCTATTCCATCTTGTGATGTTATGCAGTGATAGTTTTTATGTAAACAACTGATTTTTACCTTTTGTTCAGTAGAGATTTTTAAATTCAGGGCTGAAATGGTCCATATGATTCTAGTGAAGGTGTGTGGAGTTTAAAACACAGTGGAGCACTTACTATAAACGGCTCTACAAAGGCAAAAGACTTTAACTCTCCAGAGTGTGAAACTGAGAAAAATGACTTCAAAGTTTCAAAGTGTAATAGGTAGGGCTCCCAAAATTTGACAACTAATCGCTATAATGAAGAAATATTTGTATGCAAGAAATATTGAGCTAAAGATTGACCTTTGACCCTTATTTGTGAGTTTCTGTGCCTTTGTATCATGAACCAAAAATAAGGAGTCGTGCAATGGCAAAAGGCAGAAACGGACATGATCATGATTTGAGAAAAACACCTCACCAAGGTCGAGTTATCAGTGTGTTTATTTGAAATAAAATAGAAGAGCTTTGGATTTCCTGTTTAGTGTTGATCAGGATCGTGCGGCGACACTTACACAGTTAAACAGTTTGACACACAAGTGACTTTGCAGTATAGTGTATACAGTATGAATAAATATAAAAACTACTTTCACGTTAAAGACCATTTAAGCATAAGTGAATATGTATATTTATTGAATGTGTTAAGACCGTGTGCCAAGGCTGCAACAAAAATAAGGAGGCGAGAGGTTGGATTTTAAAATGAAATATATTTATTGACTAAACCACAAACAAAATACACAGTTTCTGCCTTTTGAATTTGCACGACTCCTTATTTTTGGCTCATTATACAAAAGCAAAGTACAGTAAGTGTCAAATAAGGTTAAAAGGTCGATGTTGAGCTCAATATTTTTCACAATATTTATTCACATGATAAAGGAGGTCTCAAATAACCCCAAAATGACATTAACAAATTTTTGACCAAACATGATGTTACAGCGTTCTGTCTTTGGCCTCGTCCACACTAGTATGTATTCGAGTTGTTTTCGTTGTGGATATAGTGTTCGTCTGCACTAATCCGATTGAAAATGGCTCCAGAGATGGAACGATCTGGTGCCGCCAGCTCCCACGAATTCATCTGAGTACGGATCTGATCCAGCACCGTGTGGACGCCTGAAAACACTGATACGCTGATGTAGGTCTATGCACCACGAAGTAATTCACCACTTCGAGGCTAGAGTATATTCATATATACGTGTGTCTATGTGTATGACCTGCAGACGTATAATCTCTGAAAAGTTTCACATGAACCATCTCCAACGCGATAGAAGCACAGAACAGACTCACCATCAGCAGAACACCCCTCTGTCACTGAAAGAACACTCATATTACACTGAGTCGTGTCCTTTAGTCCGACAGAAGCTGAACTGCGTCAGCACACAAAAGTGAGCTGTGTTTTGAGCGCTCAGTTTATGCAAATTATCCATGCGGTTTTAAGTTTTGTTTCTGTAAAACGTAAACAAATGTGCTCAAAGCTGTGTGGATAGGGAAGACTTGCGGACACAGAAACGACGTGTGTGGACGCAGATCGATCGTTTCTGATACGGTGATACGCGGATTAATTTCAGTGTAAACAGGGTCTTTGTAGGGCAGTATTACCACATGACATCACAAGGTGGAACAGAGTGTTTTCAGTTTGAGAGAAGAAACTAAATATGTAAGATTTGTGTGTTAAATATGTGTGAATTAAATATAACACTACTCCAGTTTTTGTTTGTGATGAGAAAACATTATTATAACATAGATCAGTAAATAGTGTGATATGGGCCCTTTAAGTCGTTACTAAGCAAAAACAGCTTTGAGACGACTGCATATTAGCTAGAATATATCTTGAAGTGTATTTCAGTCTGATTTTCCTTGGGTATAAACACAAAAAGAGATGTTTTTTGTAAACAGTCAGAGGTCAGCGGGTGCACAAAACTTTGGCCAATGCAGCTCCACCAGCATCATTACTGCTTATCTGCACACTGGCAAAGCAAACTGCAGAGCCTGTTCGAACCAAGGTCACTAATCTATTCTCTGCTCTCCTACGCCCCCTGTCTGTCACAGGTAGAACCGTACGACAACGCAGCCAACAACCAAGGAGCTCTCAACATGGTCCTCCGGCTAAGGTAAAACGCTCGCACATCTCTCCTACTACATGTACCCATTCACAGCACGTCAAGAGCGCAAATATTGATTGATAGCTCCCTCTCCTGCCAGTTGTCCTTAACTAGAATAAAACGCCGTCGCTTTGACACAGAGAAAGAAGATAGAAGGGCAACGGTTGTGACGTACACGCTGTATTTGTTAGAATGGCCAGACTCAGAAGTATAGAAATTCAGACACTAATCGATACTAAAACTAGAGTCGAAATTAGATTAATTTGAGCAGGTATTGATACTAAAAAAAATCACATTCATGGGACAGAAATGAAGCTTTCCTGAATAGATTTAGAGTGACCTTGAGCTGTATCAGAGCAAGTATAAGAGCACATAGACTAGTATACGCACATGGACCACTGAAGAATTACACAGATGTAAAACCACATGGTAACATAAAAGAAAGTACTATTATTTAATGTTGAAAATTGCACCCTATTGTCTAAAGAAAGTGTTTTTTATTATTATTTTTGTGTCAGTATTGAGTATTGAGTCTATTCCTTAGTATCAAGCTTGAAATTTTAGTATCATACCAACTAGGGATGTAACAATAACCGAAATATCATGATATCATATTGTCAAAAGTCTCACAGACACAGACTCAGACTCTCACAGTATATTGAATCACAAATTCCTCTGCTTAAATGCATTGTTTTATACCAGCAACGCCTAATAAACATCAGGAACTACATATCCCATGATTCATTTCAGTGCAGACAACATGAAGAAACATGTTTTTTACTTGAATTTTTGGGATTATGACGGAAATAATTCACACCAAAATCTTGTCAAGGTGTTTTAAAAGCAAAAAAGTATCCCATCTACAATTATATAAGCCACTCCAAAATATCGCAATAAATATCGTACCGTGAGATGCATATTGTGATAATATCGCACCAACAGATTTGGATATCGTTACATCCCTAATAACAACACTAAATGTTTCCTGTAAGTATGATTTTGAAATTAGGGCAAATTTCGTGTGAGATGCCTGGATTACACAGACCACATGGTAACGTAAAAGAAAGTAATACAATTTAATGGTGAAAATAACATTCGACTGTCTAAAGAAACAGGGTTTTTTATTATCTTTTTGGTATCAGAATCATTATTGAGTATCGAGTCTATTCCTCATTATCAACTATGAAATTTTAGTATCATAACAACACTGGATGTTTCCTGTTAGTATGATTTTGAAGTTAGGGCTAATTATTTGTGACATTCCTGGATTACACAGATATAAAAATAAATGGTAACATAAAAGCCAAGGCATCCACGATCCATTGGCAGATCATGGCGTAATTCGCCCGCTGTTGCCTCCCTGTCTTGGTGAATGTGTATTATGAATGTGAATGTGGATGGATAATTTAAGTTTGTTTTTTTTATTTCCTTCAAACTATACTTCGCCCTTTACTCCGCGAGGCTCCTGACTACAGTAGCCGTAATACTCCGACAATCCATCAAGTAAGCACAAACAGAATTAATACATAGAATTATAAAGCACACTGTCACTTTTTGAGAAAATTAAAGGATTTTAAGTGCACCTTATAGTCCAAAAAATACGGTAGTATAATTTAATGTTGAAAATTACATTCTACTGTCTAAAAAAAGTATGTTTTTATTATCATGGTATCGGAATAGGGATCGAGTATCAAGTCTATTCCTTAATATCAACTTTGAAATTTTAGTATCGCAATAACACTAGATGTTTCTTATAAGTGTGATTTTGAAGTTAGGGCTAATTATGTGTGAGAAGCCTGGATTACATAGGTATAAGACTAACCTGATTTATCAGCCGGTTTCACGTCGTGGAAACCGTCTGACCTCACAGCATTAGGATTCGTTCGCTCGACGATAGGCGGGTACTTTTTTTATTTGACCAGTCACTGCTATTTGGTCATGACGTATGTAATGCACCAAATCCCATAGGAAGAAGGGTAACAACGTCTTTCCTCTTGATAAAATTCACCAAACATTCTCTTTGTTCTAATTCCTGACTTAGTCGCTGGAGAGAAATGTAAGTTAGAAAAATAAGTAAGTTTCAATCTTTTATGGTTGGTAAGTTACGTGCGGTTATGTAAAACATATTCCCAGGTATCATATATGATACCGTCGGTCTGGAAGGATTACTTTTCACCAAAATGAGTACGTAACACTGCTGAATCCTACGTGTGTCACTGATTAAGAAAATTAATTCGGAGATGAAGAGCAGTGGGCGAATGTCGGTGTAAATGGGAGATGATCGTCAATATGTCTTCTTGAAAATGAGTGATTAAAGATGACTCAAACATGCACGAATCACCCCAAATATAACTCTGAGTGTGTAAATAGTGAGGGGAAACAACTATAACATGATTAAAAGGCTCTAAAAACACAGAATGTCTGTCTTTGTCTACATCCATCTCGACCACTTTGTTTACTGCTGTGCTGTTCCACAAAAGGGACCCAGACACGCGCTTGAGTTTGACGTCATGGCTTCATAGCTCTTCTCTGATTGGCCGGCGCACGGTCTACAGTACAACTTCTGCGGTTCTTGCAAATCGTCTAGTGTATTCCGATTCCTGATCTATTCGCTGGAGAAAAATGAAATTGAGCGGAGGCACTAGGTGACACCAGCCTGGCTATTATAATATAAGACCACATGGTATTATAAAAGAAAGTAATACAATTTAATGTTGAAAATTACATTCTACTGAAAGAAAGTGTTTTTATTATCATTGCAGTATCAGAGTCTGTATTGGGTTTTAGTACACACAACGCTACAGTAGATTTATCCTAAAAGAAGTGTATGATTTTGAAGTTGGAGCTAATTTGGTGTGAGATGCCTGGGGGGATATTTGGCATCTTTTTCCTCTTCGTTCTGTGTCTGTGAGCCGGGGTCCTCGAGGAGCCTGTTACGCTGCATTAGTTTTCTGGCTGCAGGCTGTATATACCTTTCATAACAGTTTATTCTGCGTTGGACATCACAGGATTAATATAGTAGTGTATAGAAGTACTAATATGATAGTGAAGATATAAGGGTTTGGAAAAATACAGTAATCTGTCTATCATTCGTTTTTCAAAATAAAACTAAAAACAACTATTTTCTTCATTATTTGTCTCCAAAACCAAAATGAAAAAAACTAAGCAAAAAGGATAACGGCCGTTTCCTGTTTCCATGACTAAAACTGCGATGCCAGACTTTGGCGCCGCATATGGACTGAACGAGGACTGAACTAGGTCTAAACCAGGTCTAAACCAGGACTAAACCAGGACTAAATCAATTTCAGTCCTGGTCTCAGTCCTGGTCTCAGTCCCCTTATGGTCCCGGTCTCATTCCTGGTCTCAGTCTTGGTCTGGTCCTGGTTTGGTCCTGGTCTGGTCCCGGTCTCAGTCCCGGTCTGGTCCCGGTCTCAATCCCGATCTCAGTCCTGGTCTCAGTTTTGGTCTCAGTACCGGTCTGGTTCCGACAGTCTACTCTGCGCACCTCCAGGCCCGACACTCAGTCCTGGTTCAGTCCTGGTTTAGACCTGGTTTAGACCTGGTTTAGTCCTGGTTTAGTCCTGATTCAGTGCTGGGATCAGTCCTGGTTTAGTCCTGGTTTAGACCTGGTTTAGACTTGGTTTAGTCCTGGTTTAGACCTGATTCAGTGCTGGGATCAGTCCTGGTTTAGTCCTGGTTTAGTCCTGGTTTAGACCTGGTTTAGACTTGGTTTAGTCCTGTTTTAGTCCTGGTTCAGTCCTGGTTCAGTCCAGTTAATTCACGGAAATGGGAAATGGCCATTATCTGTTTTTTCATTTTGGTTTTGGAGACAAATAATGAAGAAAATAGTTGTTTTTTTGTTTTCTTATTTTTGGTTTTATTTTGAAAAACGAATGAACGAATAATACACAAATTCAGTTACATTTGCATTTATTATTTATGTTTTAATTATATGATTCTGTTCAAAGTTCACATTTTGAACAGGAGGAGTTTAATGGACCCTCAGACGCCCCACCAGCACCTTTAGATCATTTTGACAAACTAAAACAAGAATCATTTCAGAGCATTTTTGTACAGACCTAAACTACAGGGTTAGCAGTTTTTATGCAGAATAAATCAGCGTATGTTTTTGTTTGTGGAGGAAATGATCATACTTCAAAAATTGCAGTCTTTGTGATTTGCTAATTGCGTTTATTCAAATTGTGGTTCTGATTTGCTTGCAGCCTCAGAAGATACTGTGATTTCCAGCTCCATTTTGATACAAAGGGTCAGGACGATGTGACAAAAACAAATATAAAACAAAAATATAATTATCATGATTTTTTTTTTTTCTTGTATTAATTGATCGGAATAGTTGATTCAATTTAAATATTTTATGTTATTAAAAGCAAAACGTCTGTTTATTTAATGTTAGAAGACCTTGTTTTGGTGACTGGACCTAAAAGATAAAGTAAGAGTCACTAAAAACAAGAACAAGATCAAATTCCGGTCCAGACTACTACTACTACTACTACTACTACTACTACTACTACTACTACTACTACTACTACTACTACATATTTCTTAGCATATTACTTAAATATTACAGATCTTAAAGGTGGTCTTGTTTCACCATTTTAAAGTCTTTATCAAGGCCACTTCAGATACTGCTACTACCACTACTACTACTACTACTACTACTACTACTACTACTACTACTACTACTTCTAATTCCACCACTACTGCATTTGTGCTTAGTTCACGTTAACAACATTTAAAACCTGTTATGTCCTAAAGGTGGTTTTGATTTAACGTTTTAAGGTATTTATTAAGGTCACTTCAGATACACTTCTTCTTCTACTACTAAAACTACTACTACTACTACTACTACTACTACTATTACGACTACTACTATTATAACAACTACTATTACTACTGCATTAGTGCTTAGTTCAGTTTCGCCACATTTAAAAGTTGTAGTGTCTTAAAGGTAGTTTTACGTCACCATTTTAAGGTCTTTATCACTTCAG